CATCTCAGATAAGGCTTTCCATGCCCATTTCAAGATGTTGAAATATCCTACCCTATGGTTATTTATTTGTATTATCTTAGTTCCTAGGAGCCCTAGTCATGGACCAAGGCCCCACTGCGTTAGGCATTCTATGAACAGAACAGAGGCAGTTCTACCCCAAAGAACTTACAATCGAAGTAGAAGACCCGAGACAATAGATGAATACAGATTGGGGAAGTACAAGGAAACCATGAGATAATATTAATCAGCATGATAGGTTGTGATCTAAGCACATCTGCAGCCTCCCTGCCCATTTAGAGAAGCTTACGCCTTTTAAAAAAGCAGATCATGTGCATGAGGTCTCTGGAGGGAGTATAGCAATTGAGTTATGTTCTTAGAGCTTAAGCTTTTTTGCTATAAGCTCAGCTGTAGTTTAGTTTAAACTCAGCTGTAGGAAACAGCACATTTTATTTCCTTTCTCGGAAACAGCAGTGCTTTGTTGTAGATACTAATGACACAGTACAGTCATATGATTTCTTGTGGCTTTTGTTTTAAGTTCTTCTTTGTGAATTATGCAGCAATTATTGGTGTATGCTCTGGTTGTGAAAATCTTTGATGAAAAGTTGAGACTTGTAGGGGAGACTGGATTGGAATTGCATGAGCTGAAATTGTTCAGTTTTGGGCTTTATGGGGAAAGTTGGAACTTTAAAGATACCTAGTCTTTTTTTGGGAAAAGGGGTGAAGAGTCAAAATTAACAGAGTATTTTGTTCTTTCCGTATTCTTGGTGTGAAAAATGAACTGACACTAAAACCAATTTTACCAGTGTACACAATTTAAAGATTGCATCCCAAGGCTAGGACTTGATGATCTGACAGAAAAATGAAAAGTTAAAGTTTGGTGAATGCTTCTCCATTTGACCAGCTGCAAATTGGCTTTACAAGAATTGGGGAAAAGTGGATGGGATTTTCTGAATGGTGGGAGGTGGAGGGGAAAGAGTAATATGTAACTTTCACAGACCAGCAAGCCAAGCTGCTATGACTTCAAGCAGGGGTTCTCAAACTTCATTGCACCGCAACCCCTTTCTGACGACAAAAATTACTACACAACCCCAAGAGTGGGGACCAAAGCTTGAGCCTGCCTGAGCCCCATTGCCCTCAGTGGAGGGGCCAAAGCCCAAGCCCCACCACCCTGGGGCGGGGGGAGGGGCGGGGGCAGGGGCAGAGCCCAAGGGCTTCAGCCCCAGGCAGGGGGCTTGTAACCTGAGCCCCGCTGCCCTGGGCTGAAGCTCTTGGTCTTCAGCTTCAGCCCTGCTTGGTGGGGCTCAGGCTTCTCAACCAGTTCCTCGTTGTTTGTCAAAATCAAATCTAGAAAAGCCTCTCCCCTAGTAGCTTTCTCCACCTTCTGAAATAAAATATTGTCTCCAATACATTCCAAGAACTTACTGGATAATCTGTGCTCTGCTGTGTTGTTTTCCCAACAGATGTCTGAGTAGCTGAAGTCCCTCATCACCACCAAGTCCTGTGCTTTAGATGATTTTGTTAGTTTTTTTTTAAAAAAAAACCTCATCCACCTCTTCTTCCTGCTTAGGTGGCCTGCAGTTAGGGTGACCAGAGGTCAAGTGTGAAAAATCGGGATGGGGGTGGGGGGTAATAAGTGCCTATATAAGAAAAAGCCCCCACAATTGGGACTGTCCCTATAAAATTGGGACATCTGGTCACTCTATCTGTAGTAGACCCTACCATGACATCACCCTTGTTTTTTCTCCCTTTTATGCTTACCTAGAGACTTTCAACAAGTCTGTCTCCTATTTCCATCTAAACCTCAGTCCAAGTGTATACACTTTTTAATATATAAGGCAACCAACTCCTCGCTTTTTTCCATGCCTGTCCTTCCTGAGCAAGCTGTACCCTTCTGTACCAAATATTCCAGTCATGTGTATTATCCTACCAAGTCTCTGATACCAATTATGTCATAACTGTGTTTATTTACTAGCATTTTGAGTTCTTCCTGCTTATTCCCCATACTTCTTGCATCAATATACAGACATCTAAGATACTGATTTGATTTCCCCGCCTCCCAGTTCTGTCTTGTCTTTCCTTTATCCCTGCTATAACAGCCAGTGCTCCCCCCAATTCCAACCCTTTTCCCAGGTCTCCATGCCTTTGACTTACTTGCGGACTTTGGTCACCTGCCCCCTTCAAACCTAGTTTAAAGCCCTCCTTACTAGGTTAGCCAGTCTGTATCCAAATATGCTCTTCCCCTTCCTTGATAGGTGCCTCACAGCATTCACCTCCAGGATGCATCTGTTTTTGCCTGGGCCCCTATCCTTGACCATGTCTTGTACCCATTCAGAAAAATGGGAGAGGAGAAGAATGTTTTAAGTAGCAGCAACTGAAGCAAGAACTAGAGAAAATCAGAGCTCACCATGTGTGAATTCAGTGATTTTAACTTTGTATCCATTTCAGTTCACGAAGACTTTGTATCTGCAGCCTAGCTACCATGGAAAGGTGTGCATTAGAAATGCCTGGAATGAGTGGGACAGTCTTGTCCCACCCTTGCAGCGAGTAAACTGACTTTCCCTCAGGGCTAAGAAGGAGGTTCCACTTTTCCACTCAGAGTGGAGATCAGGCTTAAATAACTGCAGGAGTCCGTAGTTAACTCTGATGGAAACGCTGTACCCTGGAAGTCTTTAAATAACATCTACAGTGAATAACAGGTTACGAGTCTGTGGTGGTATTTTTTTTCCTTTCTTCCCTGAGTTTTGTTCTGTGTCAAAATTAACCTGGACTTCTGGGACTGATGAAGCGGAGCTCTGTATCACAGAGGTAGTCCTGGTTGCTGGCATAAGTGCAGCGAGACGGGTGTGAAGTTATGGCCACATGCATTTATTTTAGAAAGAGAGTAATGAAGGCACAATGAAATAGTTGATGCTGCATTCTTAACTACTCAATTTGTTGGCCAGTTACATTAATACAGGTGTACTGTTATCTTTTTACATAGCACTGAGGGATGATGTTGAAAGTTAATAATTCCCAACATGCTTGTTAAGTTAGTGTATGTTAGGAATACTCAAAACGTCTAATGCATTGCACAAGGGTTAATTTGTTGGCTGCTAAAGCTATTTTTGTAATCCTCCACAGTTCTCATAAGAAATTTACATGAAGGAGCTAGTGGGCATTTTTAGATGAGGAAATGAAAAATATGCTTATACAGGTGTTTAATTCAGGTAGCATGAGCATGGTGTTCTTATCTTTTTCTGGAATTTATTGACATTTTATACATGACAATTTCTTCCTGGTTTATTGAGTCCGTAGAACTAGCACTTTTGAAGGCATACTGTACTCTTGACAGACTTATGGAACTAAGTGGCAAACTTTCATAAACGGGCTTTGACTATTCTGTTTATGTTGCTGTTGCGATATTCTCAACTTTTGGGCCTTACCGTATGTGTAAAGTATGTAAGAAAATATCTCACCGTGAAATAGAAATTTTTTTCTACAATAGGTATGCACACTGCGTTCCTTGTACATACTTTTCCTATATGTACAGATGTGGAAGTAGGATTCTTCTACTATAGTCATAAACCTCCAATCCCTTAATTTATATTTAAATTAACACTTCCATTTTAGTTTCATCGGCACTGGAAGCAGATATCTCGAGGAATGATTTTTCTTTTTATGATGTATGGGATACTGCATGTGCACCTAGTGATGGACTGAATCTGGGGAAAAAATAAGAATGGAATTTCGGGTTGTTGACACTAAGTGCCAACATTCATGGGGATAGAAGCTAGAATACTTTTTTTTTTTTGTATTCCAGGAAATATTCAGTTGGAAAAAGATAGGTATTGGAAATTTGCATTAGTACACAGATGTTGGAATGATTTGAAAAACGCTTTCTGCCGTGTTACAAAACTGATACATGGTGTTTAAATAACTTCTCCTTCAGGGGTTAAATGCTATTCCTAAAAGGCTTGCCCCATCTACAGCAATTGAGAGAATTGAGTTTGTGTGCAACCTTCAAAAATGTCTTAGTGATTTAGGAGCACAAATCCCACTGAAAGTCAATGGGACTTAGTACTCCTAAATCACTTAACTACTTTTGAAAATTGCACCTTTTCATCTTTAGTTTGTTGCAAAATCTGCTTACTACTCTGAAGTTGTACTGTTAATTGGGAAACGTTGCTTATAGATTGGTTTCTCATGGATTCTTAAATACTTGAGATGAGTTGAAACTTGATGTGGTTAAAGGGGCCTGATTTTCTTCAGAAAGTGCTGAGAACCTGCTTTCTGAAAATCAGATCCTTTAAAGTGTCTTAAATTGGCTAGCCAAAAGTGGAAGCACCCCAATTGCTAATCATGGTCAGTGTGTGAAAATTGTCATGAAAGATCGTTACTTTAGAAGCTATATTAGTAATAGTATCCATGAGAAAAATGCTAATTCACGGACCAAATGTCTCTCTGGTTAGTGGTGGTGGTCCGCTGTTGGAGTAATAGGGCGGAAAAATAGTTCTCGTACTGTTTCTGTAACTTGTGCCCACATACATATGTGGTGGGGGTGTTAAAGATGTCTCAGTCTCTCTCGTGTATGTATATACAGGTGCGTGCGTGCGCGCGCGCACACGCAGATTTAGTGTGATTCCCTGAAAAGCATCTCTTAGAAATGAAGTAGTTTAGTAAAATTTAGATTTGCTTTCATAAGGTACAGTAAAAGTAGGCAACCTTTAATCCATTTAACAAAGAGCCTTCAGTTTCTACTTCAAGGAATGTGGAATAATACTTCATAAAGTAACTTAATCTCTAGCCAACTATTTTAAGAAGTTTGCTCTTGTAAGGAGTAGGCCAGGTGAAATGTTTACTTAAGCAGACTTGTTCCTTTATTCAAGAAAGGTAACTCTACTACTATTTCCAGAAGCACAACCTAGTGTTACTTAACCACTTCAGTTATCCATTTCAGTGCTGGCTAATATACTTGAGATGTTGGACAAACCAACTTTTACCTCTTCTTTATGCTTTTGTAGTGTAGGATTGCAACAGAATGTTGATGAATGTTCCAGGGACATCTTCAGTCTTCTCTTCAATGAGTTTTAATTTTCATTATTATGGTAAGTGCGGCACTGAAAAAGCTCTGACTGGTGGATTTTGATAGGGTATTGATCCAAAAAATGTGTAGTAATCTTCGGTAACTTTCATGTCAGAAAAACTTGGGCTGCGCTATTTCTGTGTTTAGGCAACAAGCATCTAGGTTATCTTGTGGTGTCTCATGGGTCCAGTTCTTACACTGAAATATTTTTGAATAGTATTGAGATAAATCTAATTTTCACCTGTTTACAAATATATGGGGAATGTAACTCTAGATTCATGGCAAAATATAAATTGGTACACTATAAATAGAAGATAGCAATGAAATGGCTGATTGTGGTTTCTCTGTGCTTTAGAAAACTGGATCTGTGGTCCTTGAGCCTAGATTTATCAAAGCTAGGGACTTGTTCAGTTGTGCTGCCTTGAGGAAAGTATTCATGCAGTTTAAATGAGCAGCCAAACTCTGGAATCTGGAGTACATACACCTTACTGCTCTTTGTAATCCTCCACTCAAGTGAGCATATCCCACATGATCAATTTTTCTTCAGGTGGACTTGCATTGATAGGCTCTGGCCATTGCCATTATTTAAGCTTGCATATATAGTGAGACTTGTTTTTGATTACTACTGGGTTCCCTTTCTTGACCGTTACAATAACTGTTGGACTACTGTTAACCAAATAACCTTTCAGAGAACAGTCATTAATTTCAAGTCCTGTCCTTTTTTCTTGTGTAGCAGTGAACAAAACCACATTTTTAGGGCATAATTCTCAGCTGTTCCTTGTCCTGAGACTTGGGGTATATCAACACTTAAGATGGTACAGCAGTGCAGCTGTAATGCTCAGTGTAGACACTACCTATGTCAATGGGTGGGGTTCTCCTGTTGGTGTAGGTAATCTACCTCCCTAAGAGGTGGTAGCTAGTTTGATGGAAGAAGTCTTCTGTTGACCTAGAGTTGTCTGCACTGAGGGTTTGGTCGGTATAGCTACTTCTAACAGGGGTGTGGATTTTTCACAAAATCTAACCTGCATATTCAGCATTGATTATTCATTTGCATTTTTCTGATTAAATTCTTCCTCCCAGCTGATTTGGCTCATAATTGTTTTCAGCTTTGTGAAATTGGCTCTTTTTCATATATGTATATATCAACTGTCTGGACTGTATTCTGTTTGCACATTATAAATATGATCAAGTCACGATCACTTGTGTGTAAGCGACCATTAATTTTTAGTTTTGTGATGAGTTCCTTTCTATCTGTGGAAACAAGGTCCAATATAGAATTCCCCTATGTTGGCTGCAGTACTTCTTGAGTTACAAAATTGTTGTCTATAATTTAGAAATTCTATGGCTGTTTTAGTATTAGTAGCATGAGACCTCCAGCATATGTTACTCAATTTTAAGTCACATGTAATCACGCAGCTTTTTCTGCCTAAACGTCATTGATGTGTAAGGAACCAGTCATACTGTTTCCTAGTGTGATTTATTTGGTGTCTGCTACAGACAATCAACAGCATCTTTTATTTTATCTGTTAAGATATTGATCCATAAGCATTCAAGATGATTTTCTTCCGAGTTTTCAGTTACTTGGAAACAGGTAATGCCAGAGGGCCACTCCCTTACCTGTTTTGCCCATTCAGTCCTTCCCAAATAGGTTGTAACCATTGATTTTTAGTAGAGCCGCAAACATGGTCTGCAGATATCTGCAGATTTTTAGCATTCCAGTCATAGGAATCTCCATTTGTACCTTGATCCAAAGCTAAGCCAACCTCTGTTTCTCTCCATAATGCCTTGTCAGGCAGCTACTTTTGGGAAGCCTTAGATGTTCAGGTTTAGGAGGGTTCACTATCTCGTTCAGCCACGGAATACAAAACTCAGTCGAGGGTTTTTGCCCTGCCAGATATATTTGGAAACAGCTCTGTGTAGGCCCATAAATGCTACTGCAACAACTAGGGGGAATGCATTAGGATGAATAAAGCTGTCAAGCAAAAAAACTCCATTCAAATTAGATTAACCTTTCTTGTCCATTATGCAGACAGGACTTCACATCCAGGTTTGTTTTAGGGTTTTAATTGGGAGAGCGGCATTCTGTTGAGTGTCTTGCTTTTGGAAAGTGAATTAATGGTTTTGTTTTAGTGGTCAAGATAGATAGAATGTGATCTGTGGCAAGCAACGTTTTGCGTGTTCGGTTTTTTAAAAAAATTATTTATTTATTTAGTGGACGTCTCCTCTTTGACCTAGGAAACCCTGAAGTTCAGTTAAACTGATAGTATGTCCTGAGGTGCAGCAGCAGAAGCAGAGCACAATTTTGTTCGACTAGCAGCGGCAACAGAAGCGACAGCAGGCAAGTAAGAGGTGGTTAAAGGGTTTCTTTTATATGGTGCCATTTTTGGTAATGCCAGGTTCTAGGTGTTGCTTAGAACACAGTGAATTAGTAAGTAATGCTTTCACTTTATTCATCTGCATGACTTTTAATAAATGTGTATGATTTGACTGTTTCCATTTAGCTAAGATTCTGGGTTAGCATTTATCGTGACTTCTCCTCCTGAACAGAAGGGTGCCCCTTAAAGTTTTTCTAGGTGTGTTTTTTAAATTGCTATATGCCAGGGGTGGCCAACCTGTGGCTCCTGGAGCCAAATTCGGCTCTTCCTATACAAGGAGCCGCATGTTAACTTCGGCACTGACTCTGGGGCTGGAGCTCCAGGCGCCAACTTTCCAATGTGCTGGGGGGTGCTCACTGCTCAACCCCTGGCCCTGCACAGACCCTGCACCCACTCCACCCCTTTCCGCCCCCTTCCCTGAGCCTGCAGTGCCCTTGCTCCTCCGCCATCCCCACAGAGCCTCCTGCACACCACGGAACAGCTGATCGGGAGGGACAGGGAGGCGCTGATTGGCAGGGCTGCTGGTGGGTGGAAGGTGCTGGGAGCAGGGTGGGGAGCTGATGCGGGGGGGGGGGGGTGGCTGACCTATTACTGTGGTTCTTTGATAATGTACACTAGTAAATTCTGTCTCCTTCTCAGGCTCAGGTTGGTCACCCTGGTATAGGCCCTTATTTGCATGGTGGTATTGATATAGAGAGCTTTATTTGCTGCTGAGGGATTTGCAGAAATTCCTAAATTTATTTATTTATTTATTTATTTTTTTGTAGGACTGACTTATGAGCTTTGTGGTGTATTTAAAACATTATGCCATTTTATAAACTTTTTATGTGAAATTATTTTCCACTTCCTGCACAGGAATAATACAACTCATTTAACACCTATAAATGCAAACAAGAGAACAACCTGTTCAAAAAGTGTTTTAGGACTAAAGCTCAGTGTACCATCTTTCATAAAAGTAACCAATATAAAATCCATACAGTAGCTAATATTTGTTGCAATTTCTTTCTTCATAACACAAAATAGGAAGTTCAGAACTAAAAATAAGAGTAGTTCAACGGTATTACATACTTTGCAGCATGAGTTAGTTCTGTGTTAGTTGCAAATGAAAATAGTGTGCTTTACTAAGTAAAATTGCAGCGGTGTGCCCTTTAGCAAAATCTGTACATTTTAAATTGAGTTATGATTGAACACTAGAATCAATCTCTAATTATTGTAAAGGTATTTTAAGATTAAACCTTTGAGAATGAAGAATGGGGGGATGGCACTGTAAATATGTGGTAAATGATTGTGGTACATTTAAAAAATATGGCTCATAAAAATTGAGGCCACCTTTTAATGTGCGTATTTTAACACACACTGGTAATTTACGCTGGTTCTCTCCTTCACTCCTAAAATAGAGTCACAGCTTCCATTTTAGTAAACTATTCATGGGATAGATAGGCAGGGTCAGGCACAGCTAGGTTAAACCATGAGATTAATTTGAGAAATCTAGGGCCTGTAGTTTTTCTGCTCACTTGATTAGTTTTCATAAATCATTCTCATTCCCACAGCAGGAGCAGTAGTCCTAGGTGTTGAAAGTAGAGGTGCTAGGGCTGCGGCAGCACTCTCTGGCTTGAAGTGGTTTCTATCATGTACAGGGTTTACAGTTTGGTTCAGTGGCTCTCAGCACCGCCTCCTATACAAATTGTTCCAGCACCCCAGCAATAGTATTGTAATATTTGCCTACAGAAAAGCATTTTTTGGTTTCTCTTTTATCCCTTAGTGTCAGTGGGAACAGTTGGTGGAACGAGGAAGGAGAGAATCAGTTGAGTATGAATGATTTGGGCAGATCTTGCCCTGCTTTGCTAAAATCTTTGGGATCTGGGAATCTACACTCTATTTCTTGATGTCAGTCTTACTTTCTGCTCCACTTTTTTTTGTGTTCAGCTGCAGGTGCATGAACAGCACAGGAGATAATTTTGCTTTTGAGGGATGATGTGGAGAGACACTTTGTGAGTAATTCTGTGTGTTTAAAAACAAAACTTTACTGTGTAGGAACAGAAATGAAATTGAATGTGAATTTATTTTCCTTATTCCATGTTACATTAAATATGCTTCAAGTCCTCATTAAGCTCAGAAAAAACATGAATTTGGGGTGCATCCCTTGAAAAACAAACAATTTAAGGTGAAGTTTGGATGGTGTCTTAAAATTGTAGAACTGAAAAATAGATTCTCTCTACTGTTTCATACACAGCCATTGATGGCCGCAACCTTTCTATGGTGACTGATGAACTTTAGTGTTAACCATGCAACATAATTTGCTTTATAGATATGAATAATATATAACCTGTGAAGCTTGTTCTGTGGATGATCTTTGGCAGGATTAACAGGATGCTTTTAAGAGTCCCTTCAAATAATCTTCAGTGGCAGTGCTCCATGGTAGAAGGGTTGAATTAGCCACCAAAGGATGAGCTTTCTTCACTTTTGCTAATAGGTCCATGTGAATTTACGAATTAAATCTCCCTAATTCTTGTTGAGGACTGACTTGTACAGTGCAAAGCTGGTAGAGTAAAGTTCTATAATACCATTCATTCTGAAAATCAGCTTTTCACCCACCCCCTGAAATGCAGCAGCAGTATGACAGGACACAGACACTACACCACAGTTCAGCACAGGAAGTGAAGCAAAACTGCCAGTCTTTTCACCTCTTAGGCAAAAGGAACTAGCCATAAATGTAGCTCCAGTGCTTTGCTCACTTTTCTAAAACATTTATTCTTGTGAAAATTTGATTAATCTTTGATTACCTCATGTGTTCAAAGCCTTGGTCTGGTCCCTTATTTGACACAGTAACTCTCTCAGGATGTTACTTCCTAATGCCACAGTGGAATACTGAGTCATCAAGCAACTCTTTCCTTCGAACCAACAATTTCTGCTCGAGACCCTTAGTAGTAATATTACTGTAGCCTAGTGTAATAACTTAAACCTGTATTGTCACGTTACGCTTGGGCTTTGTAGTAGAAGTACTATAAATTTGCTTAATTTTACTTTCAAATAGTATAAACCTAGTGTGTTCCTTAAGGTGGCTTCTGAATATTCCCACTTGGGATGTGAGTTAATCTTTCTTTCTCTCTCCCCCCAACCCCCACTGTGGTGTGGGAAAACGCTGTTGAGTTCTGGGAATGTTCTAGAAAAGCAGTGCCTGTTGAGACTGCTTGAGTGCCCCTTCATGGCACTAAGCATCTAGAGCTGAAGTAATGAGGCCTTGTTAACCCGTCACCTCAGTGCCTTCCTTTTTCATGGACTAAGTGCAGTCACAGGAGCCTGGACTTCACACTCAGAATTTTACTTTTATCAAAAATTCTCTTGTTATAATTATTCTAAACTTGTATAGCAATTACTGACCCAGTTTTTAATTCGTTTGGATCCCATTTCATGTGATTTTTGAATTCCCATACTGGTTCTGCCTTTTCTAGAATCCAGACTTAAGATTAAAAATAGACTTAAGCAGTGTATTTTGTGCCAAAGTGTTATGGGTCAAGATGCATGAGGGTAAAATAAATGTGGAGCAACTGTGGGTTGGGCTGATTAGACCTGGGAGGTGGGAGCCAGCATATTGGAGCTGTTTTTCCCAATTCTGCTACTGACTTACCAGGTAACCTTGAGTTTAATCTCCGTTGTAGTATCTTTGTAAAATAGTGGTGCTGCTTATGTGGTTTTACAAAGTGCTTGATCTGTGAAACTGAATGTTATCTGAGTGTTAGTATTACCATTATTTTATTTTGAGAAAATGTGTTCACTCTGCAACGTGTACTTGCTACAGTTTGGAATCAATTTTTTAAAAAAATATATAGTTTAAAAATAAAAATCTCGTGGTGATAAATGTCCCATTCAGCAGTCTTATTCAGTTCTTAAATTCACAGCCTTTTTTAATGCTAAAAAGCTTTAAAGCTTTTTTTTTGCTTTTACCTAAAGATGTATTCTCTTAAAGTAAATTACAGCACCTGGCTCATCAATATTGGTTTGTCTGGCACTCTGGGGAATAAGATAACCCAACTCTGTTACCTTGAATTAGCAGAGATGATTTTTTTTTCTTTTCTTTTAGCCTTTTACCATTTCTGTGGTTTTGCTGCAGTGTATTTTTTCTAAAAGGGACTATTCAGTTAATCATGTCTTTGTCAGTGGGATCCATTTTAGTGTGGTCTTTGCCTAATATACCTTTATAATTACTTCATCAGATGAAACTACATTCATAAGCATATAGCTGTTGACTTAGATTCATAGATATTAAGGTCAGAAGGGACCATCATGATCATCTAGTCCGACCTCCTGCACAATGCAGGCCACAGAATCTCACCCACCCACTCCTGTGATAAACCTCTCACTGATGTCTGAGCTATTGAAGTCCTCAAATCATTGCTTAAAGACTTCAGGGTGCAGAGAATCCTCCAGCAAGTGACCTGTGGATTCTCTTGCTATAGCTCTTTGACTGATCTAAGCCTATGGTGGGTGAAAAGCAAAGACTCTCTGTAGAGCATTTAAGATGTATGTGTATGTAAGTACCTCATATTCTGTAGCATATTTCCTGTTAAATTTTTTAAAAACATTGTTTCAAATTTATTAGCAGCAGGGCCAACAAAAAAAATCTGCGGGAAAATATTGAGTGTAAGATTTTCATACATCTTGCCACATAAACTTGCTCTACTTTACGAATCAAAAATGTGTAATATTGCTGACCAAAGAATTCATTAATAAGTCATAAGGATCATACTTAATTTTATAAATACACACATGCTCTCGGGAGATTACATCAGATAAAGACAGACAACTAAATATTGACAAATTTTATAAGTACTTGCATACAGATACAAAAAGTTTACATACTAAGGTGGGTGAACTTGAGTGCCTGGTGTTAAATGAGAATATTGATATAATAGGCACCACAGAAACTTGGTGGAATGATGATAATCGGTGAATATGATAATACCAGGGTACAAAATGTGTAGTAGTGACAGAGTAGGTTACACTGATCGGGAAGTGCCACTATATGTGACAGTGTAGAGTCAAATACAGTAAAAATCTTAACTGGATAAAGCAGTACCATAGAGAGACTATGGACAGCAATTCCAATAATAAGAGTATAGGAGTAGGACTGTACTACTGACCACCTGACCAGGATGGTGGTAGTGATTGTGAAATGCTTGGAGCATAGAGAAGATACAAAACCAGAAAACCCAGTAACAGGGGATTACAACTATCTCCATTTTGACTGGGTACATGTCACGTCAGGCTGGGATGCAGACATAAATTTTCTAGGCACCATTAATGACCGCTTCTTAGAAAAGCTAGTCCTGGAACCCACAAGGTGAGAGGCACTTCTTAATTTAGGGGGGGAAATGCTGAAGAAACCCCCCAAAGTAGCATTTAAATTAAAAAAGGGAACTAGACAATGAGGAAGCTAGTTCAACAGAAAATAAACAGTCACAGGAGTGAAATGCCTGCAAGCTGCATGGAAACTTTTAAAAAAACATCATTAGAGGCTCAAACAATATGTATACTCCCCTTCCCCCAACCAAAAATATGCCACCATGAATAATCTGAATAGAAGAAGCTATTAGAGTCAAAAGGCATCCTTTTAAAAATAGGAAGACAAATCCTTTTGAGGAAAATAGAAAGGAATATAAATTCTGGCCAGTCGGGTATAATTAGGAAGGCCAAAAAGAATTGAAGAGCAACTAGCAAAAGAGACAAAAAAGTAACAGCCAATTTTAAGAACCTCAGAAGCAGAAAGTCTGCCAAAGAATCAGGGCGGCCACTGGAAGATTAAGGTGCTAAAGGAGCACTCAGAGAAGACAAGGCTGTTACGGAGAAGGTAAATGTATTTTTTTGCATCAGCCTTCACTGCAGAGGATGTGAGGGAGATTCCTGAGCCATTCTTTTTAGGTGATAAATTTGAGGAACTCTCCGAGATTGAGATGTCAATAGAGGAGGCTTTGTAACAAATTGATAAATTACACAGTAGTAAGTCCCCAGGACCAGATGGTATTTACTCAAGAGTTCTGGAGGAACTCATATGAAATTGCAGAACTACTAACTGTGGTATGTAACCTATTCCTTAAATCAGCCTCTCTGGTAGATAATTGGCAGATAGCCCCTGTAATGCTGAGGTTAAAAAAAAAAAAAAAGCACACCTGCAGAGATGATCCTGGCAATTACATGGCCATTTAGTCTAACTTCAGTATTAGGTAAATTAGTTAAAACTATAGTGTAAAAAAAAAAAAAGCCAGAATGATCAGACACAGATGAACATGATCTGTTGGGGAAGAGTCAACAAGGCTTTTGTAAAGGGAAAGAATGCTTCACCAATATCAGAATTCTTTGAGGGAGTCAACAAACGTGAGCCAAGGTGATCCAGTGGATATTAGTGTACTTGGACTTTCAGAAAGCCTTTGACAGGCTTTTATCCCAAAAGGCTTTTTAGCAGTCCTAGGATAAGGGGGTAGGTCCTCCTATGGATCAGTAATTGGTTAAAAGACAGGAAACAAAGGGTAGGAATAAATAGTCTGTTTTCAGAATGGAGAGAGGTAAATAGTGAGGCCACCAAGGATGTGTATTGGGACTAGTGCTGTTCAATGTATTCTTAAATGATCTGGAAAAAGGGGTAAACAGTGAAGTGGCAAAGTTTGCAGATATACAAAATTACTTAAGGGAGCTAAATCCAAAGCTTACTGTGAAGAGCTACAAAAGAATCTCTCAAAACTGGGTGACTGGGCACCAAAATGGCAGATGAAATTCAGTGTTGATAAATGCAAAGTAATGCACATTGGAAAACATAATCCCAAATATACATATAAAATGATGGGGTCTAAATTAGCAGTTCTCACTCAAGAATGAGATCTTGGAGTCCTTGGGGATAGTTATCTAAAAACATCCAGTCAATGTGCAGCAGCAGTCAAAAAGGTGAACAGAATGTTGGAAATCACTAAGAAAGGGACAGCTAATAAGACAAAAAATA